TCTAAGATATAGTCTAGTCTTTTTTACTTTTTAGTATTTACTTAGTATCTTTATTTTTGTATAAAGCTTATAGTTCTTAGCTTTAATAATAGTAAGCCTATAAGCTAACTTACTAATACCTCTGGCCTAGAAGTTAATTATTTTATATATTAGTATTAGTAAGCTACTTTAATATACTTAGATCTTCTTTTTAAGGGAAGAAGTACTTTATATACCCTCTAGTACTATAGTTAGTATCTTTGTATTCTAAGAGCCTTAGCTGCTTAGCTATAAGGTTAAGGGTATTAGCGTTTTTAGCTTAAAATCTAACTAAGAAATAACTACTTTAAGGTTAAAAAGTATAAGGCTTACTTATCTAAAACCAGCTTATATATTATTTTTCTTTATTAAGGTAAAAAATACTACTTTAAAAGCAAAAAAAAAATTATTTTTAGTAATATATAAAATCTATATTTATATTATCTTTTTAATTTCTTTACTATATAAGTACTTTAATAGGTTAAAATACTTAATATTAAGAGGCTAAAGCTTATATAATAAATAAGAAAATATATAAAAAACAATAATGCTTTATTTTTTATAGTATTTATTAAAGTTAATTAATTTATAACTATTATAACTATTAAGGATTAAGAGGTAATTAGAGCCTTTTATATAAGTCTATATATACTAATTAAAATACTTTAGCTAATTTAAGCTAATATTATTTATTATTTATCTATTTTTACTTAAATAAATATACTATATAGCTAAAAATTAGCTATTAGTGTACTAAGAAAAAAGGTAATATTTGCTTTTTATAATAATATATAGAGGTAATACTTAGCTATTTATATATATACCTTAAATAATAGAAACCTATTTCTAATTACTAGGCTACTTTATATAAAGCCTTTTTTTATAGTTAAACGTTATAATAACTTTTATATATAACAGTATTCTTATTAAGAACCTAGTCTTATTAAAATTATAGATATTATTATTAAGTATTCTATACTTTATAATTATATTTTATATAAGTATAAACTAGCCTTATATAATTATAAGATCCTTAGCTAAGGCCCTTTAATAATTAATTTAATATCAAAATTGCATTTTTAATTCAAGGACACGTTATACAAAGTTCTCTACTTATTAAGGTCCTATATACGTCTTATTATATATATTTAAAAGTTAATTAGCTATTTTTTATATATCTTCTTATTATAAAAGAAACCCTTAATTAATTAAGTTAATAACTCATTTAAGAATTACTTTTTCTTTTATTATAGTTATCTTTATTAAATTTAGTTATCTTTTAGGTCATATAACGCGTCTAGCGTATCAGTTTTGGATTAACGTTTAAGGGACCTTAAAGGTTCAAGCTGCTTTTTATATAGACATCTTTAGGTCTTTTTCAATAGCCTAGATAGCAAGGATAATACGACTTTTAATTAAGGAGAATAGTATGTTTGTACATAGAGGAAAGTTGGTGTAAAGGTTAAAGAGGTAGAAAGTTGGAAAAGTGGCCTACTCGCTATGTTGGCCCACTCGCTATACGAGTACGTTATATATAACCTTGTCTTATAACCGTTAGGTGCTTATAGGGCAACCCTGGTTATATTATATTTGTTAGATTGTAACACTAATGCTTAAACTTAAGTTAATACTGTAACTTAAACACTTTGACTACCTTAAAATGACTTCAAAAGCCACCATTCTTAACCCGTAGTACCTGTTATAACTTGCTGATTATTACGCTTCTAGGACTGTTTGCTGTGATCTTTAAAGAACTACTAAGTTAGCTAAGAAACTCAGCCTCAGGGCTGTTAACAAAGACACGCTGTTATTCCTCCTGCCAAGCGAGTAGAGGCGTAAGGTGGCTATCTTTGGTCTGGTGCTCCCTGATGAAGGACAGACCGTATACAGAGATAAGCAGCAAGATCAAGGCACGTCGTTTAAAGAAGCCAGCTGCTATGGCTACGACCTGTTATAAATGGATTGCTTTAAAATATTAAGCCTAACTTACTGGTAAAGGTAAGAGACACGATAGCCTGTAACTCTGCTGGGGCGTGCGAGGGGAAAGATCTCGACGAGGAATAAAAATCTGTCACTTGACCGACCAGCTGCGAGCAATTGTGAACCAGCCGACTGTTTCATATCAAAAGCTGCAATTCGCCCTCTTTCCTTCCTCCCTTCCGCCCATAAGCCATGGCCACAAAGAACAAAAAGCCAGCTAGAGCTAGCAGGCCAATAGAGCTAGCTGTCTCGAAGAGTGCCGATTTTGCATCCTTTGACAAGCAAGCCTTGTCCGCCTTGACTTCGAAGATTGAGAAAGGATTCGGACGCAGTAAGTTGAAGTCGAAGTCGAAATCCGAATCCGAAGACACAAGTCATAATCAAAAGCAAGAGAAGGCAGCCGCAAAGGCAAAGAACAAGAATGGCAGGACCGCAAGCAAGACTCCCGAACTTGCGCGAGGAACGAAGAGAGATACAACGGGAAAAGCCAAAGTCGCAGCCAAGCCCTTTTCAGGAAGCAACATGAGCCCTAGGGTTAGCCGCAGGGAAATCAAGGACAGAGATACAAGAGCAATTCTGCTATAGGAAATCCTGGCACTAAAGAGGATTTGGACCTGGTAGCCCACGCCGTGTCGGACGAGGACGATAAGGGATCAAGCCTTACGAGTCCTCCGGACAAACTATTTCGAAAAGATCTGGCCAATTTCGTTGCAGGACTAGGCATCAAAGGCAAATTGCAAAAAGACTTTGATTCTAACGTTGAAGAGGAAGCTGATGCTGGCTAGGAAGAGGGTTAAGGCTCAGATTTGTCCGATGAAGTTATCTCAAGACGAAGAAATCTTAGATCTGCCCACGAAGAAGACGAAACTGTCTTCTACTGAAACTCATTCGTCAATTAATCCTAACCGTCTTGTCAGTATTTTTTCCTCGACAAATGCTGGTCTAACTGACTCTCAATAGTTGTTCGAAGCACAACCTAACTGGCACGCTGCTCTGTTACCCGTTCTCTCTAGCCCTGATGCACAGAGCCCGTTCCGCTACTAAAATGCAATACCCAACCTGAAAGACTACGCAAAAAGTCTATTAGAAGCCAACAGCAGGCTGTATGACTCAAAGTATCTTTCTTCGTCATCATCATCGCATCGATTCTTGTCAACCATAATGGTATCAGGTACTCTTTCTAAAAAGGTATCGGCTTTGACATTGGTCGTCCAGCAATCTCCAATACACACCACAGAGTCTTCTGAAAGTCTTCTGACACTTGCGAAAAAGAACAGCCGTGGGCAAGCTGTGACTGCGCTAGACGTATTAAAGGATTTTCTTGGAATAGGAGCTGTTTTACTAGCGGATAGATGTCTACGATCCTTCGCGAGACAACCCGGCCTTATATGCACCCTACAAGAAGACACTATTACATCTTAGACTGCCGGACAACAGCTGCCAGGAAATATCACAAAGACCTGCATACGAAGACTGGCTGAAGGATGTGTACATTGATATGCTGAGGGTGTTATAAGGCTGGTTCAATGATGAAGTGGCATACGCACGCCTTCAGGCTGTAACATTCGTCTATAAGCTTCTAGAGGAGAAGCCCGAACAAGAAGCCAAACTACTTCTACTACCAGTTAACAAACTTGGAGACCCTTACAAGAAGATTACTTCTCAAACCCCATGTTTACTGTTCTAACTGCAGACTTCCTATCCTTTAATAAAGCCTATCATCGTACAATCAATCAAAAGCGAGCTTATCCTATGTCCTAGTTAGAGTTCCGAGATACACTCTAAATAAATAATAGTCTGACCTCCCAAGATACCTGTTCTTCTTCTGTTCAGAAACCAAACCTCACCTCCATGCCTTTAAAGCTTTATCTTGGCGCTTTTCTAGTGACCCACATATGAAGACCTTGAGACACCCATAGGCAGGTTTACTATGTCCTTCGGGAACCACATTATTGATCACGAGTGTCAATTCCTACTCTGGGTCGCTTACCATGTGAGAATCAGAGTCACTCTTGAGAGAGTCTAGTATCATTTTCTGTCCAGTGTGTCTATAGATGGAATTATAGGTACAATGACCTATCGGAGGTTGTGTTTTTTCGGATCTGAAGACTGACTTGCCCCCATGCAATATTTACACTTAAAATGTATTCAAAAAGATCAGATGCACCGTCAGGTTCACGACCCCATCTTACACCCCCTCCCCCCACCCTGTCTTTTCTCTCTGGAAGAAACATGGTCATGTGGAACATCTTCTCCTACCGCTCTTCTCTGCCTTCAGCTGCAGAGCGATTGCAGTGGCCATCTCTTGGCCATATAGGAAAAGGTCGGGATAGTTTACTGGGTAGTTCGCCTGGTAGGCAATGGAGGTATTAAGGCCTGGGACCACGTAGATAGCTGCGTCATACGTGCCCAAAGCAGAGAATGCACCATCATCGCCGAGTAGGTACGTGCCATTTCCCGTGCTTCTTGGTAGAGTCCACCATCCGTTTTGATAACCGAAGTTTGGCACAACGCTGATGTTTCCTGGTGCTCGAATGCCAGTGGCCGTCTCCGCCTTCGAGATGCTCTCGAACCAGCCGCTAGGAACCTTGGGCCGCCTCGGCCGTGAAGGTTGTCGTTCACAAAGACAGAGAACCGAGCCATATCAGTCAAGGCAATGGCGAGGCCACCATGTCCATCAACTTGACCTGCGCCCGTGGCTCTGAAGTATCCATCGTACTTCATCCCAGCAGGTTGCCAAATGTTTCTGTTGATGTAATTTTGGACGGGTTCATTGATCGCCTTAGTAAGGACGACGCTAGCAACATAGAAGTTCTGGTCCTGGTACAGGAATTCCTCGCCCGGCTCGGCAAACTTTTCGTACGTCGTAAATAGTTCGTTGACAGCATTCGGGTCAGTGGACATATACGTGGTAAAATAATCGGTGCTGTTTGCGGACGCTTGTACACCAGCATCCATGTTGATGAGATCCCAGACTTTAATGTCTGCCCAAGGCGTGTCCGTCAATTCGGGACCCATTTCTTGACTCGGTCCGTGATGTTTAACTTCCCCTCCTGGATGGCAATCCCGATAGCTGTAGAGAGGAAGGACTTGGTGCAGGATTGGATGACGTTTCTCGAGGCAGGTAGATTGCCATATTGGTACTTCTCAGTTCGAATGGCACCATCCTGGACCACGACGAGACCTGCAATGCCGAACTTGTACATGAAGGACTCGATATTCTCGCTGCTACCATTGACGATTCCCCGAGCATCGAAAGGCTCGCCCTGACTGAACTCGCGCAGATAAGAGCCGTGACGCGCCTGCTTGGTGCGATTTGGTAGTAATTCCTCTTCCATGCGATTGAGGAAGGCTCTGTTCTCTGGTGAGGAGGATGATACTGCGGCCGTGAGATTGAAGGTGCCGATGGTAGCAGGGTCGAAATATGGTGTTGCTGAAGCAGTTGCAGATGAGGAAGAGGTGGTGGTTGCTGCACGTCTTAGATGAGCATCTACAGCTCCCACTGCCGTAAAGACATTGAGTGCTTCAAGGAAACGCATGCTGGGCAAAGAATCTGAACTTGTTTTGATGTTTGAGCACGGGGGAAAAGTTCCCAAGGACGAGACAAGTTGTGAAGAGCGGATCGAGACACTCACGATGGCTGAGAGGACGAGGATGTAAAGCATCAACGCGAAGACTTCTTTATATACATAGATGGCAACTCATAGTTGAAGAAACTGAAGATGGGTGATGGTCGGATATCCCGTTTTCGCGGTATCTCTTGTTCAGTTCCTATCAAGATATCGGGAATATCACCGGGAACGACCCCAGCCAGCTGGAGATCAAGCAACGAATAAGAAGCCTGGTGCATCTCCACTAAAAATCAGGTATCACCTAATCATTGTGGCGAGTGCTCTTACTGTCATCATAAGGAGATTTTCATGAGCTTATCGCCCCACACATTCCGCCAAATCCATTTCTACCCCAATCTCCGCCATCCATCTCTCTCTCTTATCTCGTTATCTTTGGCTAGCACTATCACTTATTACCCCAGGACCCAGGACTCCCTGCACCAGGAGCCGAACCTTAAACTACTATCATCGGTCCCGGATTCACAAGACTGACCCATGATTAAGGCAAGGAGGAGATGGAAAGTAAATAGAACACTGCCCAGACTCAAGGTCCTGTTGTCTCGTCGTAAAAAACCTCTTCTCTTTATCCAGTCAGTCCTGAATCTTGACTTGCTTAATGTCTTCGGAGAAGGTTCTAATTCCAACTATGGAAGCTGGTGTGAAAGGGATAGAGAGGGACCTCACCCTTGATGAGCTGCAACTGCGTGCTCAGGGTCATGTAGGCCAATTGCCTCGTCGATTCTCCATGTTTGCAACGCTGGCATTGGCATTCTCCATCACCAATACGTGGATTGGCTACTCGGCAACGTTCGTCACTCCATTGCTTGGTGGTGGTGGGTGGGCGTCATCTGCTGCTTGCTCCTTGCCTGCGTCGCTTGTACCGTCATTGCGACTGGACTGGCTGAATTGGCGTCTGCGTTTCCCTCATCTGGAGGACAGTATCAGTGAGTCTTCTCGCCCCGAAAGAAACATGGCAAGGCTGATTGATGATTTAACTCCAGTTTTGCTTTCATGGTCGCCCCGCTTAAGTATCGTGCCCCGATCGCGTTTGTGACAGGATGGCTCAGTGTTTTTGGTACAGTTACTTTATAGCTTGCTTCCCAGAAAATTGCTGATTCAATGGAAAGGATGGCTCTTTACAACCGCAAGCACCGTCGTCTTCTGCGCTCAGAGCGCTGTGACCATGGCTTCAATCTATCACCCGGATTACGTCGGAAAGCAATGGCAGGTCTATATGATCTATGCGTTGATCACTATTGCAACTTGTGTTTTCATCGTGTTGCTTCCCAAGTGGATCCCCACCGCGGAAAAGACCTTCTTGATGGTGTCCCTCGTTGGTATGGTTGCTGCATTTATCACGGTTCTTGCAGCCAGCGATATCAAACAACCAGCCAAGGTGTTTTCGCAGTGGAGTAACAGCACCGGGTGGCCAGATGGGCTGGCTTTCCTCCTCGCAACAGGTCAAGCAATGTACGGCTTTCTGGGTCTCGACGGAGCCACACACATGGCTGAAGAACTCCCCAACCCTGGACGCAACGTTCCGAGAATCCTCATCTTGATCATGCTGATTGGGTGCGGCACCGCTGTTCCCTGGACGGTTGCTTTCATCTTCAGCACCAACGATCTCGACGCCATCTCCAGTTCGGCCCTTCCAATCTTCGATGTATTTCTCCAGGCGATCAACTCTCGCTCCGCGGCGACCTTCTTTACCGTCTGGATCATTTTCATCTACTATGGTGCCTTGGTCAGCTGTTTCGTCACTTCCGGCCGACTGCTGTGGGCCTTTTCTCGAGATAACGGTCTCCCCTACTCGACCTTCTTTGCTAAAGTTCATCCAACATTGGACGCTCCCGTCAACGCGACTGTCCTCGCAGGCATCTTTATTACCATCTTTGGCCTCTTATACATCGCCTCGACAACAGCATTCAACAGTATTGTCGCACTGGCAATCATGTCAAGCAACATTACTTGCACCATCCCGCAGGCCATTGTTCTTTTCCGTGGGCGACATGTGTTATCCCCGCGCTACTTCGATCTAGGAAACATATTCGGACCTCTAATTAACGGCTTTTCTCTGCTTTACGTCTCTTTGTTTTCCGTCCTGTTCTGTTTTCCAATCTTCCTCCCGGTCAAGGTGGATTCCATGAACTATGTCTCGGTCGTCTTCGTAGGAGCTCTGGTCTTCATTGCCATCCTGTGGTGGGGTGGAAAGAGGAAGACCTTCGTCGGTCCTGACGTGCAGATCGATGGCATTGAGGTTCCTGCTTCCATCAACAGAGGAGACTTGCATGCGGCTCCGGCTGCCACGGGCTTACCAGCGAAGAGCTAGGAGGGAGATCACCAAGCGTCAAACGTGCGTTCATGATTATGTATCAAGGCCATTGTTATAAGTCACCGTACCCACTTTCCGACCACCCCCACTTCCGACCACCCAAAAACGAGGCTATCGCAACACAACCACCTATTTTAATTGACTATCGATAAGGGCTAGATGCAACTATGATACAGCTTTCTGCTTTACTAGGGCAATCAGATGCGCTAGATTCATCTGCGTCAGCTTCAGCTTTGCCAGCCTTAATCTAGGCTTTTTATATATCGCTAATATTAATGAACTTAGTATTAGGGTCAATTTAAATAGCTTTCTTTTTCTTTATTACTGTGTTATTAACTTAAGCTTAGAGAAGCTATATTTAGTATTAAGTAGTAGTTAGCTAAAAAAACTATTCTTAAAAGTTTTTTTAACTTTTTTAAATAATTAGTGTTATATAGTTATACTTTAATTTAACTTATTAAATAAGTCTAGTTAACTATTAAGATCCTTTGTCTTTTTAAGTATAGACTATATAATAATAAATATAATAGATTTTTATCCCTTTATACCTTAAGTATTCTAGACACCTTAAATACCTTAAATACCTTAAGTAGTCTTATTAAGTAGTATTATTAGTGTTATTACCTTAAGTAATAGTAAAAAGCTTATAAAAGGTCTAGTTATATTAATAAGCTATAGTCTTATACTTATTTAGCTACTTATAATATTACTTTTTATTAGCCTAAATAAGTGTATTTATTAATAATAAAATATAAAGTATTTTTTATTAACTATAGTTAAATTATTTTACTTATTAAGGTTAAGCTAAAGCTTTTTATAATAAGCTAACTTAACTAAGCTAAAATTTAATAGATCTAATAACTAAAAGATATAAGAGGTATATAGTAGTAAAAGTAATAAATAAACGTTATTAATATAGTATTACTATATAAATTCTATTATTATATAGCTCTTATACTTATCTAAGATTAGTAGTCTAGCTTAATTAGGCTAAGAGGTAGTTTATAGTAAAAAGACCTTTAGTAGCTACTTAATAATAGTCTTATTAGATATTTATCTATTATTTATTACTATACATTCTTATTTATTATAAAAGGTAAGGTCTAAAAGAAACTACTACTACTAGACTATTTTACCCTTATATATAATAAGAGGATATAATACTTAGCCCTTAGCTAAATAACACTTAATAATAAATACCTAGGCTTATAATCTAAGCTACTTTTTATATAAAGACTTAGTCTTTACTTTACTTAGTATTAGCCTATTTATTATTTAGCCCTTAAGGATACTAGTCTTATTTATATTATATTTATTAACTAATTAAATAGCTAATATTACTAGAATTATAAGATATTTAAACTAACGTACATACATAGCAAGTAGCTTATCATAGCAAGTAGCCTACTTTCTCCTTTCTCCTTAAACTTTAACTTTATATTAATTTTACTCTATATATAATAACAAGTTCTTCTTTAAACAAAAATCATATTATCTTTATAATTAAAGCTATTAAAAAAGACCTAAAACTATCTATATAAAAAGTAGCCTTTATCTATAATATCCTAAGAATAACACTTTAATATTAATGCACTAGATAATTATTATACTATAAGACTTATATAAAATCAATAAAAATAACTAAGCTAGAAAAAATAGTGATTCTTAAACGAGTTATTAACCTAATCGATTAAGGATTTCTACTATAACTTAATAATATATAAGATATAGCTAATTACCTTTTTAATAAATGTAATATAACGTGTGTTAGACCTTAATAAGTAAAGAACTTTATATAACACTAACTATAACTAAAGACACGTTTTTAATATAAAATTAACTATTAGAGGGCATTAGCTAAGGATCTTGTAATTATATAAGCCTAGTTTACTTTTATATAAAATATAATCATAAAATATAAAGTTTATAATAATAATATCTATAATTTTAATAAGATAAGCTTCTTAATAGGAATACTATTGTATATAAAGGTTATTATAACCTCTAATTACTATAAAAGGCCTTATATAAAGTAGCCTAGTAATTATAAATAGGTTTCTATTATTTAAGGTATATATATAAATAACTAGGCGTTACCTCTATATATTATTATTAAAAGTAAATATTACTTCTTCTTATAGTATACTAATAGCTAATTTTTACCTTAATAGTATATTTACTTTAATAAAAATAAATAAACTATAAATAAGATTAGCTTAAATTAGCTATAATATTTTAAAAAGTATATAAAGTCTTATATAAAAAGTATTAAGTAGCTTTTAATTCTTAATAGCTATAATAACTATAAGTCTACTAAGTTTAATAATTACTATAAAAAACATAATATTATTACTTTTTATATACCTTTCTATTTATTATATAAGCTTTAACCTCTTAATATTAGCTATTTTAGTTTATTAAAAGTATTATATAATAAAAATATTAAAAAAATAATATAAATATAGATTATATATATTACTAAAAATAACTTTTTTTTTACTTTTAAAGTAATTTTTTTTATTTTAATAAATAAAAAAAATATATAAGCTAGTTTTAAATAAGCTAACTTTATCCCTTTTAACCTAAAAGTAATTATTTTTTACTTAGATTTTAAGCTAAAAACGCTAACACTATTTAACTTACACCTAAGTAGCTAAGGCTCCTAGGACCTAAAGACATTAACTATAGCATATAACGCTATATAAAGCTTTATATTACTTAAAAAAAGGATTACTAGTTATTAATATAGCTTATTAACTTATTTATATAAAGTAATTAACTTATAAGCTAAAGGTATTAGTAAGTTAATATATAAACTAGCTTTTATTAAAGCTAAGTACTATAAGCTTTATATAGCAAATAAGATACTAAGTAAACGTTAAAAAGCTAAAAAAACCTAATTATGTCTTAAAGGGTCTTTTAATATAGCTAAAGTAAAGGTAATCTAGGTAAAGAAGGGGGTTATTAATGCTAAAGGCAAAAATATACGTTAAGAGGAGGCTTATATAGAGAAAAGTAAATTGCGTAGTTAGCGATATAGTAATTGCAGAAAGACTAGATATAACGTATAAACATGTTAAGTAGTATAAGAGACCTCTAAAGAAGAGGATAATGAGTAGTTTTAATTGATTTTGTATAATGCTGCTTGATTGACTTATATAAATGGCTGGAGGGTAGTGTTACGACCCAGGAAAGCGTTGGTTAACGTAACCACCTGGAACGAACCCACGAGGGACCAGGGGACATTCGGGCTCATGTATGCATGATCACGGCGCTTACGGGCAAGGGTCGGAACGGAAGAACTATGGACAGATCACGTGATGATAAGAAAGTGATCAAGAGATAAGGTGATCACTGGGAGCGATCACCAAGTGAGCAGCTCACCCCGGACCCACTCTAGTTGATCACCATCAACAGCATCACGATAGGGAGACATCAGTATATAGACAGGACTTGAGCCTGGGGCTCAAAGACTCTCCATAGCTCTTCAGCAATCAACTTCGTGATTCACTCTCTCATAAGTGACTCTTAGATTATCCTTCTGTTGTGAAGCTATAAAGCTATCTACGCCTAGACGTGCCTGACTGATCACCAGACACCAACAGACCAGCAAGATTACCAACAAGACTTACCTTACTGTTACCGAGTATCGACCTCAGCTGCCTATTAGCAGAAAACACCACTGTCGGATATCTGACCGTAACACTTTGATTGCTCCTGTTTAGTAAGTTGACCTTGATACTCACCAAACAGTAACGATGTCCTCCAAAGCCACCCCGACTTCATCTAGCGGATCCAAGGGAAAGGCGGTCGCACCCCCTAAACCCATGAGCTTGGACCAGGAAATGAAGGGCGCCGAATCCTCTAGCGACGAGGACGACAATGCTGAAATGGCCAAGCAACTCAAGAAGGCCCACAAGGACATCGCGGACATGCAACAGATGTTCAACAACAACGCGGCACTCCTTGACCAACTTCGGGCTGAGGTCCAGCAAACCAACAATCTCAGGGAAGAAGTTCGCACTCTCCGAGCTGCTGCCAACATCATCTCGACCCCAGTGGATGGGCGGGAAAAACTCAAGCTCAACTCCCCACCACCTACGACGGGACCCCTGGAACGCTTAAAGGATTCTTGATACAGGTCAGGACCTACCAGACGTTTCACTCTGGCAACTTCCGTACGGAAACGGAGAGAATCATCCATGCAGGCACCTTCTTCAGAGGACGAGTCCTCTCTTGGTTCGAACCCTACCTAGAAGACTACCTGGACAGTGAGACGCTGGAGCACTGCAACCTAGAGACCCAGCAAATCTTTGGGAGCTTCGCAGGATTCGAGTACGCCTTGAAATCCTTATTCCAGGACCCAGACGAGAAACGACAAGCCGAGCGAGACTTGGCAAATCTCAAACAAACCAAGTCAGCCACCAACTACGCTGCAGAGTTCCGAAGAATCTGCGCACGACTTGATTACACCGACGACACCAAGATCTTCATGTTCTACCAAGGACTTAAGGAAGAAGTAAAAGACGAGCTATCCAAGCTCGACCGACCCAACGACTTCCTACAATACGTGGAAATCGCAGTCAGAATCGATACCAGGCTGTACGAACGGCGAAAGGAAAAAGGAGAAGCACGCCGCCCTCAGCCGAATACCAGCAAAAAGTATGTGCCGCAGGGACCTAGGAACTCGCAACCCAACTCGTACTGGCAGAACAACCAACAACACAGTAAGCCGAGCACCTCCTATGGGCAACACAGCGGACCCATGGACGTTGGTGCTGCAACCAGGAAGCCTCACCAGAACCACCGGGATCCGAAGGACTTCAAATGCTACAACTGCGAGAAGCCCGGCCACATAGCTAGAGACTGCAAACAACCTAAGCGACTCCAGAACCGACCCGTACCTGAAGGCACTAGGAAAGCCAACGTAGCAAGAAGGGAAGTTCCCCACGAACAAAGGAACTGGACCACCTGCTTCGACGACAACTGTTTAGTTC